TGTAGTTAAAAGGAGTGTAAATGGATAGAAAAGCTTTGAATAATAAAAGCTATTTATACCATGTTAAATTTGGGATGTAAGTGCTAATCCTCCTTTAACTGTTGATATTTTACTGTGATCAATTCCAAGACACAGGAAGGCTTATATTATGGACCACAGTCTGTGCTCTGTGCTCAGGTGGTCTGAATTGTTTCAGGAACTGTCACCTGGAAATAGATTTGCCAAAGGGCTCATCGCCTTTAATTGCAATAATTCTGTTATCTTACCAGTTTTTTCTCTTCGCGTAAATTGGTCTGATAGGGAAACTGATGAGTCGATGAATATGTAATATAACTTTATGAGAGATGTTGCTGTTGAAATGGTTGCTGCTTACTTAGGAGAATTATAAGGAAAAATTAATTGGACAGAAAATGACCTTAATGCCACCTGTAGAACTGCAGTGCTAAAGTATTCCTCTGTTGAATGAGTGAGGGAAGTGTAAGTCGTTAACTATTCCTTAAGTGTATGTCGTTAACTATTCCTTTTCTTCAGCGGGATACAGAACACATTGGAGCTTTCTTAAATTGTTTAATAGCACTGTAAGCTGGTAAACTGCTATGCTGAAAGCAATTGTGGCCATATTTCAGTAATATAAATGGGACCATCTGTATTTTTATGAATGTTTTATTCAACTATAGAATTTAGAAGGCGTCCAAACAGTATGAATTCAAGTCTTCCAAATTCAAAGAAGTTTCAGTTTCAATTTAGTCCTGAGCTTTACGCCTAAAGGATGCATATATACATCTGTTCAAAAAGTCCTTTGTCTTAAAATGTAGTCTTCTCCAAAAGTGTGGGTTTGTTCCATACGGATGTGAAGAAGGAAGGTAGTCATAACTTAAATTGCTCCTACCAGAATATATTTCCTATCATTAGATAAGGAATATCAAGACACTTATCCACTGCAAGACATGAATAACTCTAACAGATTTTCATTTCCACCGTACTGATGTCGTTAGAGTACACATCAAAGCAATGAAAATCAGTCCATTATGGATCATGAAAAAAGACTTCAAAAAAATCATACAGGGAATGGAATTTGTTTTCCAAAAGTAGTGACAAAGTCCTGTTTTGAGAAACTAAAATTAGGCAGATTAAACCTTGAAATGAAACAATTCAAGCTAACTGTGAAGGAAAGTACTTATTGGAACATACTGCTGGGGAAGATGCTGGATGCGTCATCATTTGGGACCTTGCATACCAAGTGCATGCATCAATTCACTAAGGAGGTGAAGTTTTGTAGCCTGTATGGGTAGAAGTTGAGGCTAGAAAATCATAGGAGGCCCTGTGGCCTTGAAATCTATGACTGAATCCTCAGGCTCCTTTCTTTGGGATCCTGAAGATTGGATGGGATTGTCCAAATTAACCTCAACATGCTTGTATAAAATTTGCATTTCTTAAGTAAAACAGTGCTTGCTGTTGATTCTTGTGTTTCAGGAACTGAGCACCTTTCCTTTAGGGCTGAGGAGAGAGCTTTTGCCTCCTGTGCATGATTGCTTAATATGTCCTGGGCTTTTTGATCTTTTGACTACCAGAGACTGATAATGTCAAGCAGTTTATTGCTTTATAATGAGATAGGATGACAAGAGATTGAACAGGGAATTAGATTCTGTTATCCTCCCGTCTACAAGATGTTATCTATCTGCAGCACTGTAATACTTGTAAGATGAATCTCAAAATGTGGTATGGTTGTGTGGGCACATGCATTGTAACATTGCGTTCAGTCCTGGTTACTAGTCTCTTAATATGGTCAAGACTCCTTGAACGGATAACTCTCAGAAACGTTTATCAAAGCTATGACTTTAAATTGCAATTTGAAGTGTAAGAATCAAATCGGGTATCGGTTTAAGACTGATAGCAATATTGATACAAAACTAAAATCATTTTCCTCATACTTTTGCTTTAACAAAGCATTTACCTTTAATATAGGTGTGAATTTTGTTCAGCAAAATTCATACTTGCTAATTCAGATTTTGCTCTCGTGCGTGAATACTTCTTCCATTATATTTTTTTGATGGGATGACAAGATGTATTTGAAGTCTCAATATATGTGTGAGTGTGCTACTTGGTGAGGACCATTACTTACCTGGTATAACTGGGAGATGGTGGAAAGGCAGGCAAAATTTTGAGTAAATGGAAAAATCACTGAACATGCTATAAACATCTAATTTTAGCAGTGTTTAATAGACCTTTGTCCCTTCATTAGTGCTGTTTTATTCTCTTTTTGACCTATTTAGTTTTTGACTGTGTTATGATAATTCTATTTGAAAGGCTGATGATTACAGTCAGTGGTTAGTAATGTTAGGACATTAGCACCAATGACTATAGCTCTGGTTTTGATTTTTGACCTTATCTACAGGGGAGAATTTACTAGCACTGGCAGAATTTAAATTGGTTTAGCTCAACTTGATTAAATCTGTATGTGGACGCTCTTACTCAGAATACACAATCTTAATTTAGTGTCCCTACATTCATTTGAATTAAACCATTTAAGGCTACATATTCTGAAAGAACATATTCCTACAGGGATTTAATCCAGTCTAACTAATTTGGTATAAATTTAGATCCTCAACTAATCCAGATTAATTTTTCTCCAAGGGGTTCTTACTTGTTTGGATTTGATTTAAACGTCAGAATTTACAACAGAATCAGGAGTGCTTGCCACCCTAAGATTTTCTTGTTACTTTTAAAAGTATATCTGAAGGTATGTTTGCATATGTTTGTAGGTATTCATTATTTAGAAGTGGATAGCAAAATGGATACGAAAAAGGCTTTTATTGTCCCCTTGGAGATTTTATGTATCTCTCTTGAAACACATATGGAACTGTCCCATAGGAAAATGCCTTAAAAACTAGGGAAGAAAGGACAAGGGGGAACTGTAGGTATGCGGGAGGGTGGAGGGGGAACCTCTGGTAATTTCAGGCTATTTCTAAACCTGTTTGCTGAGCTGTTCCTGGCCAGAGCTGTTAAGAGCATGCAGAGTTTACAGTGTTCCCACTTGATTGTAAGCTTCTAAAGAAACTGTCATAGAATGAAGATTGTACAAATCTGAACATTATTAAACATACAAGTTTTCTAGCTCCCTGTCACCTCCAAATAAACACCAGCAGAACAAATCCTAAATTTGCGATCAATTGTATTTTGTTCTTTTTCTGCTCAGAGGACTCTTTTTCAGTTTATTGGTGTTAGTAAGAAAGTCTGAGACAGAAACAAATATGTTATTAAAATTAGTTTTGTGCTTTCTTTAGCTAATGAGAAATATACATTTAAGTAGTTAAATGACTTAACACCTCCTAAGAGATGGATTTTTTTGCATTTTCATATTCCAAAAAAGGGAAAGGGTATTATTTTATTTCGTATGTGTTCATTATTTTATTCAAGATTTATTCTAATTTTCATAGAATCAAAATTAAAATTCAATGATAAAATAAGAACAGATATATTGCAATTATTAGTTTACTAGGGAAAGTTTTTTTTGAAAGATAACTTTGCCTTTCCTGTTTTCATTAAGAAATTATATGAAAGCATAAATCCAGACTTAAAATATCTGACTTTACGGATAATATCTTTTGGATCAATAGTGAAGTGAAGTTTTTTTTCTTCTAGACTCAATTTCTGTGATATTTTAGAACAAGTAGATTTTAACTCATTACATATAGTTCTCAGTGATGTTGGAACTGAGAAGCCTTTCTTGTATATACTTCCCCCCCCTCCCCACTTTCCTCCTATTTCAGATCCCCAGTTAGAATCTCAGCTTTGAACACAGCTTTTTTGAACTGATCTATTTGAATGATGGAAATATTGTTTGTCATTGTACAGAAGTTGTATAGCTTTTTAAAGGGTCATTATTTGCTATAGTAGATTTTAGTAGCTGGTGTTTTCCAAATTCAAGAGTATAATTGTGTTAAAAATTTCAGAGGAGAAATGTACCCTGTTTGAATGTCATTTTTGTACAATACAGTGTTGTATACCACTTGTGCACTGATTCGGGGATAAGAGACTTTGACTTTTAGTTCGTGCTATTTTGCAAGTGATTGAAATAAACTGAAGGCAAAGACACTTTGGGAGTTCCTTATCATCGGATAAGAGAGCTTGTATGAGGAGCTGTACTTGAGTAATTATACCAGTGTAACAAAAAAGCATGCTAACAGAAAAGCTCATAGGGAACAATTGAAATACTGCTTTAATCCGTTGTAATATACACTAATGGGAGCAATTATGGATAGATTGATCTCCAAGATGCAAACATTATATCGCTACATAAAATCTGATTTGGAAATGATTACCAAAAGCCCGGAAATTACATAATTAAACTGATTAAATTACCCCTGACAAGATTTTTTTCCCTTTAGCTAATTGTCACATAATCAGTGAAATAAATCAGTGAATAAATTTCACATAAATCGGAGAAATTATACTTTCAGATATGTTTAATGATAAGTATTACTAGCAGCAAAATGTGAAAGAGTATGCAGTGCAATAAATTAAAATTTCAACAATGTATTTTTAATTTTGTGATGTTGAGGTTAATATTTTGAGCCTACTCTTATGTATTACTATCAATTATTATTTAATTATTAATTATAAATGTATTAGTTATTTGGATTTTTAAGAATAATATTATTAAATATTAACTCTGCACTTAATCATGAGTTACAGTAATTTGAACCTGCCAATTTATTCTTATTGACAGAGTATATTCAGAAAATTTTTTTATTCATTAATATTGTTTTGAGGTTGGACCCATTGGTTTGACGTAGAGCAGGTTGAAGAAAATAAGGGAAAAGATGCTTGGATTTTTCTTTTTCTGTACGTGATAAAAATTTTGTTAATCGGAAGCTGTTTGACTGTAATTCTGGCTTAAGTCATTATGGTATATGTGCTAAGTAAGAAACACTGGCGTTTCTGTAAGTCATGTCATTCTGTTAATCACTGAGATCTGATGTTCTGCTCTGTTTCTGCAGCCTCTGGTTAAATGGAAGCCACTCCTGGGACCTGGATGGTTTGTTCTGACGTAGACTTTGCATAGCAGCTCCATCACGCCAGCAAGCTGCAATGAGTGGAGGAGGGGAGCAGCCAGACATCCTCAGTGTGGGAATCTTGGTCAAAGAAAGATGGAAGGTGGTGAGTATGTCTTTCTGTAATTCTTTTTCTTCTTTAAAACGCAGTTTTAAATAGATGTAGTTTGTGCTTTAAATTCTGTTTCAAAATTTTTGTAAGATGTATGTTGCTCAATACTTGTATTAGAAGGTGACCAGACTTTAAAACCACTTGTTTAAAAAGAAGTTATGTGGATTTAAGGGGTGTGTGTGTGGTGTTTTTTTTTTTTTTTTCCAGTAATGACTCAGGAAAGCTTTTAAATCGTAATTTAGCGCCAGTTAAGAGCATAAGTGGAAGAATCCTGTTAGGGTATTGAATCCAATCAGCAGGTGATTAGGTCCTTCAGTCTGTTTTGGAAATCAATCAGGCACTCTCTTGAAACCAGTCAGGTTGTGAGCATTGTTCCTCCTTACAAGAAACTCTTTCAGGACCTTGCTGCTCTTCTAATTAGAAATGATTTTTGTTTGCTTGTTATGTTTTGTAGCATAAATTTGTTCATGGCTGCTTTATATCCTTTTGATTGCGTGCCATTATTGCCTTTACCTTAGAAAGCTCTTTTCCCTTTTGGTCTTTGTATTCTTGGTTTACATCCAGAGAGAAATAATACCAATTCCAATGCTAGGAAAAGTGAGCCAAGTTCTCATAGTTCCTTCTCCATTTCCTAATCGTTTTAGTATTGTTCTGCATGTGGATTTCTGGGAGATTTTTTTTAAAAAAAGAGAAAAGCAAGTTTATAGTAGAACTTTTTGGGTGTCCCAGGTCTCTGTGACTTTAGCAAGCTGTGCCAGGAGACTGAATCACTATTTTTTTGCTCCATCTTTGTTTTATATTAATTCCATATTTCAAGGCTTCTGCTGCTTGCCTGTAAGTTCATAATGAAATCTCCCTGTTAGTCCCCCACCACTGTTACATAACAGCTCTGGGTTTTGGGTTTGCTTTTTTGTCTTTCCCTCAGGCCCTAGATTTTGATTATAATTAAAGACAGGACACTGTATGCTAGAGCGCTCAGCAATATTAAAATATTTGAAATGTAGGTTTTGTGCCTTAAACTTACTGACAAATCGGAGACTGACTTAGGGGAAATTTCACAGCAGGACTGGCTTGCAGGGACTATTGAGATACCTTCGATATTAACTGATAATTTTACCTGACAAATTAGCCGCTGAAGCAGACAGACTGGCAGTGCCCTTGATATATTTCTTAATGTCTCTGTTGCACAATATATATCTGAGTTTTGGTCTTTTGCTGTTTATGTGAATTTGTTAGAGATTGTGGGGAGGTATTTTGTGCTGCTTTCCTTCCAGGTCTGTGTTCTTTTCCTCACAAGAGACTTAGATTGAGCTGGTGACCGTTACTGACCGTAGCTGAATGCTAGCGGAATTCTAGGGAGTCTTACCAGATGGGCAGCTTATGCTCTTGCTCAGGGATTTCCATCTATGAACTTACAGTATATTGCGATAATTGTGTTGTTAGTCCCTTATGCTAATACAGGCACTATTCACAAAACTACTCTGTTGTCTGAAACGTGCAACAGCAGTCCTATTTTCTTCAGTTTCATCTTCTTTCTTTAAATATTGAAGAATGGTAAAGAAATCAGTGTCTCATCTTTTGGAAAACTTTGAGAGTAGGCTGCTATTCACCTCATCTGATCATACATTTTAACTTGTATGTTTTCCAACTTGAGTATTACAGATAGAGGAGTAACCCATAGACAATGTTTGAAACTCCTCAATTTCTTAATTTCTGTAGTGAATACTGGTAATTTCTTAATGGCATTTGAGGTGATATTCTTCTCTCTGGATGCAGGGTAAGGCAGTGAAAAAACAATAGCATCCAAACTTCAGATATTCCATAGTGCTGAGCACATCTATTTAAACATGATTAATAATTTTCTACTAGATTATGAAGTATTGATATTTCTTTGCTAGTGTTCTTGAAGTAATGGATTGTTTTGAAAATTCCCTGTGCAGAAAGATGAGGTGGTATAAACCCATGGGCTTGAGGTTTTTGTGACAGTAAGTACTGGCCCTAATTATTAGTAGTATTTTTGTTTGTTCTTTTTGTTTGTTGCTTGAACTAGAACTCTCCAGTTCACTGTATTTTTCCCTTTGAGAAATACCAGGTCTGTAGTTTGACTGCATAAGATTGTTTTGTTGTAACCAATCAAAAAAGAATGGTTTAACAAAAATTATATATTCTCACAATTATTTAAGATTTGCAGTAGAAGTACAGTTTTCAAAACTGCTGCTGTTCGTTGTCTTGTTTTTTCTAACCGTAAGAACATACCTGGCATTTGTGGAAATTAAAGTTTTTTAAAACTATTTTAATGTAGGCATCATTTAGGGTGATTATACTTTTTGAAAAGTAAACATAGAAAAGACATTATAAAAGATTTTTGCCTCGATGGCACACTCTCTGCTGATATCTGTATCTATTAGCATTTACTTTTATCCTGTATCTGTGTCTTCTCTGCTTCCTCTTCTTTGCCTCTGAAAACATTTGTTACAACCCTGACCTGGAGCGACTTGAACATACTTATGATTGTTTCTAGGTAAGTTGAAGGAAGGGCGTTCAGGATGCGTGTGTAGGAGAAAGCACAAAGGAAACAGTGTTGGAAATTATATTCTTTAGAGCTGAAGCATACAAAGAGGTAGGAGGATGGAGAAAATGAGTTTGGGATGAGAGATGCTGAATGCAAATATGAGAAGCTTGAAACTACTGTATGGGATGGAAGGCTGTGGTGCAGGTGTAAAAAAGGGTGACGTGGTCCTTATCAAGGCAGAAGAGGTTGAGCAGACACGGCAGGGGGCCAGTGTGACTGAACAGGAGACTCCTGTCTGAACTTAAAAGCAAAAAGGAAGCGTGTGGAAGAGGGGAAGGGCCACCCAAAAGGAAGATAGAGATACAGCCTGAGTGTGCTGGGATGTGGGTGTGTAGGAAAGCCAAAGCTCAGCTGGAGTTTGAAACTAGTGAGGGATGTGAAAGGCAACAATTCCTTTCTATAGAGACATTGGCAACAAAAAGAAAATGGAGGAAAATACGAGGTCGTTGCTGATGGTGTTGTTTGACCTAGTGTTAAAGAACATGGAAAATATTTTTGCTGCTATTAAAGGAAGCTCATTTGTGCTTGGAATTATTGACTGCCATTATTATTGGATGTATGTTAATGATTCTGGTGTACTTTATCTGAGGATAGAAATTGATCTGTTTATTTTGTTAGAGTTATGTGCTTTTTTTTTTTTTTTTAAAGCACACAGACAACAGCAACAAAAACTCTCAGAGACATTTTTCTCAGCCTGCCTGTATCTCCAAGCTGGTAAATTGGAGATGTATGATGAACTGATAAAAGTCTGTACTGTGGTGAGAGTGAGTGTGCCCCTCTTTGCTTTCTCCCTCTCATCTTTTTCTCCATGCATTCTCACTCTCTCAAATGTGCTTATGTTAGTGCTCATGGTGGCTGTGGTTTTCAGTCAGATCAATGTCTACATTTAACTGTTTGAGGCCTGGTACTAGTTCAGGAAAGATAATGGAATTACCTGGATTTTTTTTTTGTTTTTAAACCCATGAAAATCTGCTATTTTCCCAATATTTAAATGTCAGATCTCTTCCCTTCTGTAAGGACTAACAGTTTGCATGTATTAAATACATCTGAATGTAACCAAGTTTTACAGAGTGTTTCCTGTGACTTGGGGAAGATTTCTCTTTCTTGTGGTTTGTCATCATTTGAGACTTAAATCTAGGTTTGTACTTGACTAGTACCTTAAACAAGTCACGTCCAAAGACACAAATTTCTTATTTGGGATTTGTTATACTCTGTAGTTGAACTTGTTAGCTTCTTGAAAGGCGTAGGTTAAAGAGTCACGGGCTTAGCTGGTGTTTGTAGCATGTCTGTTATGCTACTTCAGAGGAAGTATAAGGGCTATGGAGAAGAGAGAGGACTGAATTTGCGGGTTGCTAGTATGCCTGTTAGAAAGAGATGGTTACCTGAATGTGCAATCAACAGATATTGCAGTATAAGCAGTTATTAGGTGGGTTACTTCTGTAGTTTGTACTCTTTATCCTATGCAGCTTTTTAAAATTGGCAATGAGAGGCAGGAAGGAGTGCATGATGTAGCTAGTGTTACATATCTTGGACCATCTTTTCCTCATCTTTAGAATACTGCGATGGTGAAAGATCTTCAGGATACAAAATGGGTGATGAAATACTGAATATTGTTGCAAGCATACAGAAAAAATTAATGCAACACGACTTAGGTTGAAAAATGCAAATAAACAACACGAGTATATCTTGTTTCATCTGTTACCTTCTTCCTTCTTCTTATGGGGCCTAGGCTATTTACAAAAGTGTTTGTCCTTCTTAGTCAGATGACTAATTGTCTGGATTAGGAGATGTTAGTTTCATTTTCAGACCCTGACCATAGGTCAGAGAGTTGCTGATCTCCAGATCGCCAGAATGTTTAGCTTACATTTAATATGTTGCAGTCATATGACCTTGGCAAGTACATTTTCGTAAGACATCTAGAAAACCATCTCAATCTTTCAAGGTAAAATATAGTAAAACTATGGTATTGTATATTTTCTAGGGTAACTTCTTTGTGTCTTTTCTGTTTTATCAGTTTGCGAATGTTAGCTAGAGGGGAGAACACAATATGAAAACATTAAATGAAATACATTCTAGTTTTTGATACTGAAAAGCAGACAAGTCTTTGTCCGCTGTGAACATTTAAAGCAGAGTAAAAACACAACTGTTAATATTTCCACTGAATGTACTGTATACAAATTAATTATGCCAAGGGCATTCCTTTTACCTCCTCTTAACATAGATGAAATTTTCTGTGGCTGCATCTTTCTTTAGTATGTTTAGTAATAAGAATGGAATTAGTGAACCATGAATAAATGTGTGTAGCATTTAAAATACATAGTTAAAGATAATTTTAGCTATTTCTTATAATTTACAATTTGGCTTTTGTGTGGACCTCACTGCACGTAATAGAAAATTCTTTCTCTTTGCAGTATCTCTAAGCACTTTAAAATGTTTAGTGTTCAATGTGCATATTTTTGAAAAAAGAAGAAGATGGCATATTTTAAAAATATCACTGCATTTGTAGTTGAAGCTCTCTGGGAAGTATGTGGCTATTTGAGGAAAGTATATATTCAGCGTAATGACTTTGGTCGCATTCATGCTGGGAATATTACTCTATTCTTATGACGTATTAAATGATAATTAAAGTTGAATGCAGATGAAGATCGGGTATATTAACTAGTATTTCTAGGATCCTCTTCCTAATTTTTTCTGGTTAACCATATCTTTGTAGAGTATTCAGTAGCTTTTTTTTACTCACCGAAGGATATGATTTTATTAATTTATAAATTATTAGTAATATGACATTGTTTGCAGTTTGATCCAAAAAAATTGATGATTTGTTTCTTTCTTCTCCCCCTTTTTAACCTGTTTTTTTTTGTTTGTTTGTTTTTAATATAGTTGAGAAAAATAGGAGGTGGAGGATTTGGAGAAATTTACGATGCACTGGACTTGCTTACCCGGGAAAATGTTGCGTTGAAGGTCGAGTCAGCCCAGCAGCCAAAGCAGGTTCTGAAAATGGAAGTAGCTGTGTTGAAGAAATTGCAAGGTAGGGCTGTACCCTAGATATACCGAAAGTAGTATGTCAGTGTATTTTTTCAAAAATATTATTCTAATCTCTATTTCATTATAGTTTGATTAAATGTTCTCCATATTCTGCAGTTAACTACTAAATTATCTTTAGGACTGAAATAAAAGCCTTTAGATTTAGGCTTGGCAGACAAGAAAACCAGGCTCTTTGAGCTTTGGGATGTTTTGATACAATTAACCTTTACTTTGAAACAGGATGATATGACAATCAAAAACAACAAAAATTAATTTGCTCTCAAAATCTATACCAGCTTGATTTTTCAAATATAGCTTATTCTGGATCTTCATACTGCTCTTACCTTTTTTGCTCTAGGCTCTTTTTCTTTTTCCCCCAGTTAAGTTAAGATGGCCTCTCTTTCTGGATTACTATTGAGTATTTGAGGGTCCTTCACATAGGATCCAGGATAAGAATATTAAGTTAAGTTAAGATGGCCTCTCTTTCTGGATTACTATTGAGTATTTGAGGGTCCTTCACATAGGATCCAGGGTAAGAATATTTGTATTTATTTATTCTTGGCAATACTTATAAAGGCTGTTGTGCTGCTGAAATGGAAAATATAGCAAATAATTTAAAAACCCAAACTTTTAAAACCTTCAACTTGTAGGAAGAAAAAGATATATTGACATGTGGAATTCTGAAATACTTTCAGTTGCTTGACCACTCAGAACCACAGCTTTGACTATCTACTTTTGATGTATCTTTGAATAGATCACTTAATTAGTTTTAAAATCATATTTTATTGACTGAAGCTATCAGTAAAGAGAAATATGTGATGGCTTTTCTTCATTGCTTTTCAAAATAAAAGATTAAGTAGAAAGCTTACAAGTTTTTTTTTTTTTATAACAATTTGTTTTGAGTCTGGAAGATTTTGATGACTATATCAGTTTCTGTCAGCAGCCAGAAGCCAAAAGTTATTAGTTTGAACAAAGCAAAATCTGCATGACATACGGTGCTGCCTAATCTGCTCTTAAGGTCACATTGCAACAGAAATTGACAGCCTCTATAGATTTAAGAGGGCAAATATGTCATATGTTATACTGTGAATATTTTAACCTCTCTTATGTTTATATCTTTTTAAAGAATTTCACAAAAACATCTAGTATTATATAGTAGACCAAGAAGATTCAGTGGCTGTATATTAGCTTTCTTTGAATTGTAGAGTTTCTAGTCCAGAGACACATTCAAGTAAATTCTAGTAATGCCAATCCCAAATTCAGAGCTCCTCAATCAGGGTTCTTGAAAGAAATTACCTTAAAAATCATGAATTTTGAAGAAACAAATATCTGTAACTCTTGGGCTTTTAAATGTTTAGAATTGTTTTTTCAAGCTTTTTTTCTGCACACAAGTTTAATTTTATTTTTAATGAAAACTGAAGTGTCTCTAAAATGGTATAGCTGAAGCAGCTAAAGTAATAAGGAAAACACTGATATCTGAAATAGTATCTTGACATTTTTGCAACTCTGCAATACCAATTCATTTGTAAAAGCCTAGCCTATATTGACTGTAAAACTGGATGGCTTATGTGCCGCTCGGTTTATACTAAAAAGTGTTGCGTTATAACCTAATATACATTTAAGTATAGTGAAGTTTTGAGGTCAAAGGTTAAAAAGGTGCTTTTTTTTCCAATTAAAACGTGTTTACTTTTTGTGGAAAAATTAATATTTGAGTGAAAATTTGAAAGCCAGAAGATTTGGCTGAAATCATCAAAAATTGATTTGTAACTTTTGCCCTAGGGCCTTATGGAAGTGGTAATTTTGATATCAGTCTTGCTTTTGGAGTGTAACAATTGAAGTCTTCCTGTAGAAGAGTCCCTGGCTGTACAGAATCATGGGCAATGCTGTCTGGGTGGAAAAAACAGAAGAAGGGAACAGCTGAAAAGAGATCCATGGAGGCATTGCAGGAGCTTCTCGAAATAGTGATATTTCTGCTTTGTTATTTATTTTCTCAATATTAATTTTCAGAGAAAGCAAGACAATCAGTGGAAATCTTTGTATAACTGAAAACCTGATTTCATGTAAAAATCTTTAGAAGGAGCTTTTTGTCAGGCTTTCTAGTGATAAAACAATTTAGATTTTAATTAATTTTACTTAATTTTTCTCTCTCAATAATCTTTTACCCCTTTGAAAAAAATGACTGTGATTCTATGGTAGTGATACTAGAAATGGACTTGGTCCTGTGGTGTTTGAGTTCCACAGTACAGTGTAACGCTTTAGTGTTAGGTAGGGAACGTTGTAGGTGATCAGGAAAGTGACTTCAGTAAGCGATGGGTTGGGGAGGTACTTTTGAGACATACTGAGATCTAAAGTATGGATAGATTATTATTTTTTTTGATATATATATATATTTTTAACCATACTCACAGGATTTTTATCAGACAGGGTGGTGGATTACAGTGGAGAAAATTGTTTTACATAAAATCCTGCCTCCTAGCAGCAAGAATTTCTACTAATTTTCTTACTTCCGAAGTTCTCAATGTACAAAAGCTGAAAGTTTGAAGCAGAAAGAAAATCGAGACAAATGGACAAAAATAGGGTGTCATTGCTTCTTGAAGAGTATGTTTTTAATTAATTGTTTTATTTAACATATAGAAATTTTACTACTTTTTGAAAAGATTTTTCTCCTGCAGTCACTGGTTCAGAGAAGGTGAAATTGTAGACAATTTTTGTAGACTATTTTTATAACCACCTTCTAATAGTGTATGTCCTCTGAGACCAGATTATCTTAGTCTTTTATCCCCTTTTGGGAGGAGGTGTGTTTGTGCACATATATGTATATATATATTATTATTCTTTTCTCAAAGGACTTATATTTTCTCATTTTCAAGGTGTTCTGGTTACCTTGGACATAATTCAAATCAGAGGAAGGAATGTAATTGTCATGGAAATCCCTTTTCTTGCAAATATTTGGAAAGTTTGATGTATGAGTAGCATGTAATGAAAGACGTGATTTTTACCTCACTGCTCAAGTGGCCTGACAGAATCATTCAGAAATCTTTGAAGTGGGGATCTGAATTTGTTAAAAATATATTTAATGTAGTGTATAATTTCCTGTGAAAATTTGGAAGAAAGAGGCTTTGAGGAAAGAATTAGAAAACAGGTGTAATTTGGTCTCAGCTCAGCAAAATGGCAGGTAGATATGCCAGCTTCTTCTCTAGGGCTGCTCAGGCGCTCCAAGTTACAAGCATACTTCAGAGTGCTTCTGAGTCAGTCTTTGCAGAAAGCGCGAAACAGGAATGAGAACAGCTGTTGGCAGAAATGCAAGGTTGTACTATTTTTATTATTTTTTGCTTTCAGAAATTTTGAAAATTAAAATAGTGTGGTCATTCATTGCAGTGGTGAGATGAGTCATAGCGTTAGCGGTATGCAGTACAGCGAGTAATGAAAAACTTCAAAACAGCTGTTTTAAGCGTGCTTTGCTACATCAGGAGCTTAGGTATGTAGAGTAGTTTTATGGCTTCTCCTTAATTAGGAGAACTTTCCAATAAAAAGTGTTGGGAGGAGCAAATTTTTCTTGTTAAAATGCCTGTCATGTTCATTGGTATGGCCATTTAATATTGCTCAGCCATTGATTGCCTATTTGTTGTTGTTGTTTTTTTCCCCTCCCCACCCCTGGCAATGATGTTACTTTCTAAATTTTGTTGTCAGAATACTATTTAACTCTTTAAACTGTCAGATTTTTAAAGAAATCCGCCACAACAGATGGTTCTCTTTCTCTGTTTATTTGAAGCCATGTTGTTAGGCCATCTGTTTCTGTTCATGGAGTCGGAGGAGAGAAGACAGATTTATCAAGTCTCACTCAGTGAGAGTGAGACTCACTCAGTTGGTTTTCGTCTCGCACAACCGTACAGACTTTTCCCTCACTCGTTTACAGCTCTGTTAGCGTAATGTAATGCTGGGCTGCGTCAGGTGGAGGCAGCAAAGCTAGTGCTAGGGGTACCAAGCTAATGCCAGGGGTAGCGGGCTGCTTGCGGGACGGTGCTTAGGCTGCCTTGCTCCCCAGGGGCCTTTTCAAGGGCAGAGGCAGCAGCTGCAGCCCTCCTGCCATCTCTTCCCCGCCTCCCCGCCGCTGCTGCCCAGTCGCATGGCTCTCAGGTGTCACACGCGGAGAGAAAATGAACTCCAGGTGGCTGCAGAGGTGTTGTAGCTAGGGATGGCTATGCTAGAGTGGAGGAGGATCGAGCTATTATTTTAATAATGTCTGCAGAACCTGCTTCTGTACTTGGCCATTTCCTTGGATTTTTATAAAAGTTACTTTCCAAAGAATTTACCACACAACTGGAGTTGCTGCTTCAGTCAAAATGAAATGTGGTGGTTTCTCTGAACAAACCAAGTTTTGGACACTTATTGCACTTGTCAGATGAAAATCTGACAAAACAGCCAGCCCTCCCCCCCCTCCCCAAAAAGGGGAAAAAGGAAAAGTGAAGTAATACAGATTTCTCTGAATATGTTCCTCCAGCATACTTGCAGTGGCTGAAAAATGAATTATATATGTTTGAGATGAGAGTTCATTAGCTAAAAAGTGCAACAATGAATATACAGAATTTCATCCTGGGAGATTTGCTGCAAGTCCATTTCTTCATAAAATTACATTGTCTATAATACTGCTCATCTCCCTTAAAAAATGGGTGTAAGGAAAAAGTGGAGGAAAAGCAGTGTTACTTACAGCTTAGTATTGACATATATGCAGAAATTGTAGAGATTTCTTTTAAAAGAATTCATTTAAAGTAAGTTATTTTGATGAATCCTGCTCTGTTTTCTTTGTTTATAGAAGTAGAGCTATCTGTTTGAACTGTATGTGCCAGGGAGGTTCCTAAGGAAGCAATAAATGGGCAACCATTCTTCTGTCAAATGAAGTGAGACTATTCAGAAACTCTAGTACCAAGTCCTACTGGTTTGATGGGGCTATGCATGGAGCAGTATCAAAAAATCCCCCAGAGCTAACAGAAATCTTTTCTCAATTTTCTTCTCCTACCACTTCTCTTTTTTTCCTATTGATGATATTCTACTAATCCTGAGGTTAAATAAATTCATGGAAAAAACCTTCAGTGATGCAAATTTTACAGTTCTACTGGGCACTTGTGACCATCAGCTTTCTCCCAGTTGTAGCTTTGATGGTGTACGAAGGGAAGGTAAATGAGATGAGGGGCTTAAACCCTGCTGTTTTCTCCTGTGTCATATAGTGGAGTCATAACTGTTCCTAGGACAGTGTTGCTGCTTCTCCCCAAGTTGATGAAACCAGATAGCAAACTGACAAGGGCTTGCACTCCCCCTCTGCTTTCCCT